CAAGGTTGTAATTGCAATGATGTATAATCCACCACAGAACAGCAGGCCAAGGCAAGAGTATGATGGGAGTAATAGATCAATGGTTGACACATTGCCGGAAGTGGTCAAAAGGGCTCATGCAAGCAGGGCAAAGCTGCTGATTATGTGTGACTTCAACCACATGGGCATCGACTGGGAGAACCTGGAGCCACATGGGAGCCCAGAAACGTGGAGGGCTAAGGTGATGGGGGTGGTACTGGAAAACTTCATTTACCAACACGTAAAGGACACTACCAGAGAGAGTAGAGGAACCAGCAAAACGGAACCTAGTATTCACTTTGAGTACAGTAGATATTGAGGACATCACATATGAAAGACCCCTCGGGGTCAGTGATCACATGGTTCTGAGCTTCGAATACATAGTAGTTACAAGTGGAGAGGGAAAAAGAAAGGGCAGGACGAATGAAGCCAAACTACAAGAGAGAGGACTACACAGGCATGAAGAATTTCCTGCACGGGGTTCAGTGAGACAGAGAACTGGCAGGGAAGTCAGTAAACGAGATGATGGGATATGTGACAACAATATGCAAGGAAGCTGAGGAGATTTGTACCCAAGAATAACAGAAATAATGAGAAAGCCAGGATGAGCCCTCTGTTCACCCAAAGGTGTAGGGAGGCCAAAATCAAGTGTGCTAGAGAATGGAAAAAGTATAGAAGGCAAAGAATCCAGGAGAATAAGGAAGTCGTAGAGCCAAAAATGAATATGCACAGGTAAGAAGGGAGGCCAAACAGCAATACAAAAATTACATAGCAAAAGCCAATTCTGACCCGAAGCTGTTGCACAGCCACATCAAGTAGAAAACAGTGAGGGACCAGGTAATCAGGCTGAGGAAGGAAGGAGGGGAAATCACAAGAAATACCGTAAAGTATGTGAGGAGGTCAACATGAGATTCAAAGAAGTGTTCACAGAGGAGACAAAAGGGACTCCAGAAAGTGTGCTGAAAATATCTAGCCTAGACAGGACTCGCAGCAATGGTTTTAAGTTGGAAAAATTCAGATTCAGGAAGGATATAGGAAAGTACTGGTTTGGTAATAGAGTTGTGGATGAGTGGAACAAACTCCCGAGTACAGTGATAGAGGCCAGAACGTTGTGTAGCTTTAAAAATAGGTTGGATAAATACATGAGTGGATGTGGGTGGGTGTGAGTTGGACCTGATAGCTTGTGCTACCAGGTCGGTTGCCGTGTTCCTCCCTTAAGTCAATGTGACCTGACCTGGCTAGGTTGGGTGCATTGGCTTAAGCCGGTAGGAGACTTGGACCTGCCTCGCATGGGCCAGTAGGCCTTCTGCAGTGTTCCTTCGTTCTTATGTTCTTATGTTCTTAAGACGGAGAGGTTGGGTACACCATCAAGGGTTGGACACAATACATACAACCAAGGAAAAAGTGAGGAGGATGCTAAGTGAGCTAGATACCTCAAAGGCGATGAGGCCGGATAACATCTCTCCATGGGTCCTGAGAGAGGGAGCAGAGGCGCTATGTGTATAACTAACAGCAATCTTTAGCACGTCTATCGAAACAGGGCGACTACCTGAGATGTGGAACACAACAAATGTAGTCCCAGTTTTTAAAAAAGGAGAGACACGAAGCATTAAACTACAGACCTGTGTCACTGACCTGCATACTATGCAAAGTCTTGGAGATTATCAGAAGTATAGTGAAGCACCTAGAAAGGAATGAGCTTAACGACAGGTGGAGAGGGGGTGGAGGGAGAGAGAGAGGGGGTGGAGGGAGAGAGAGGGGGTGGAGGGGGAGGAGGGGGGAGGGGAGAGAGGGGGTGGAGGGAGAGAGAGAGGGGGGGGAGGGAGAGAGAGGGGGGTGGGGAGGGAGGGGGAGAGAGGGGTTTGGGGGGAGAAGAGAGGGGGTGGGGGGGAAAAGAGAGGGGGTGGGGGGGGAGAGAGAGAGGGGGTGTAGGGGGAGAGAGAGGGGGGGGGTGGAGGGAGAGAGAGAGAGGGGGTGGAGGGAAAAGAGAGAGGGGGGGGTGGAGGGAGAGAGAGAGGGGGGGGTGGAGGGAGAGAGAGAGAGGGGGTGGAGGGAGAGAGAGAAGGGGGTGGAGGGAGAAAAGAGGGGGTGGAGGGAGAGAGAGAGAGGGGGTGGAGGGAGAGAGGAGAGAGGGGGTGGAGGGGAGAGAGAGAGGGGTGGAGGGGAGAGAGAGAGGGAGGGGGGGGTGGAGGGAAGGGGAGGAGAGGGGGGGTGGAGGGAGAGAGAGAGAGAGAGGGGGTGGAGGAGAGAGAGGAGAGGGGGTTTGGGGGGAGAGAGAGAGAGAGGGGGGGTGGAGGGGGGGGAGAGAGAGAGAGGGGGGTGGAGGGGAGAGAGAGAGAGAGAGGGGGGTGGAGGAGAGAGAGAGGGAGGGGTGGAGGAGAGAAGAGGTGGGGTGGAGGGAAGGGGAAAAGAGAGAGGGGGTGGAGGGAGAGAGAGAGAGAGAGGGGGGGAGGGAGGGGAGAGAGAGAGAGGGGGTTTGGGGGGAGAGAGAGAGAGAGAGGGGGGGGGAGGGAGAGAGAGAGAGAGAGGGGGGGGTGGAGGGAGAGAGAGAGGGGGGAAAAGAGAGGAGGGGGTGGAGGGAGGAGAGAGAGAGAGAGGGGGGGTGGGGGGGGGAGAGAGAGAGAGAGAGAGGGGGTAGGAGGGAGAGAGAGGGGGTGGAGGGAGAGAGAGGGGTAGAGAGGGGGGGGTGGAGGGAGAGGAGAGAGAGGGGGTGGGGGGGAGAGAGAAGGGGAGAGAGGGGGTGGGGGAGAGAGAGAGAGAGAGGGAGGAGAGGGGAGAAGGGAGGGAGGGGGAAAGGGGGGGGAGGGAGGGAGAGAGAGAGAGGGAGAGAGGGGAGAGAGGAAGGGAGAGAGAGAGAGAGGAAGGGAGAGAGAGAGAGAGGAAGGGAGAGAGAGAGAGAGAGAGGAAGGGAGAGAGAGAGAGAGGAAGGGAGAGAGAGAGAGGAAGGGAGAGAGAGAGGAAGGAGAGAGAGAGAGAGAGAGGAAGGGAGAGAGAGGAGAGAGGAAGGGAGAGAGAGAGAGGGGGTGGAGGGAGAGAGAGAGGGGGTGGAGGGAGGGGGAGAGAGAGAGAGAGAGAGAGAGGGGGGTGGAGGGAGGAGAGAGGGGTGGAGGGGAGAGAGAAAAGGGAGGGAGAGGGAGAGAGAGAGGGAGGGAGGAAAAGAGAGGAGGGAGGGAGAGAGAGAGAGGGGGGAGGGGAGAGAAGGGGGAGAGGGAGGGGAGAGGGGAGGAGAGAGAGGAGAGGGAGGGGGGAGGGAGAGAGGGAGAGAGAGAGGAAGGAGGAGAGAGGAGGGAAGGAGGAGGGAAGGGAAGAGAAGGAGAGGAGAGGAAAGGGGGGAGGAGAGAAAGGGGGAGAAAGGGGGGTAAAAGGGGAGGGGTGGAGGGAGGGAGAGAGAGGGGTGGAGGAGGGGGGTGGGAGAGTGAGGGAGGAGAGAGGGGTGGAGGTGGATGGAGGGGAGAGGGGGGGAGGGAAGGGGGTGAGAGGAGGGGTGGGAGAGAAAGGGAGGGGGAAATAGGGGGAAAAGAGAGGGGGGAGGAAGAAGGAGAGGGAGGGAAGAGAGGGAGGGAGGAAGAGAGAGGGGGAGGAAGAGAGAGGGAGGGAGGGGGTGGAGGAGAGGGGGAGGAGGGAGGGAGGAAGAGAGAGGAGGAGGGGGGAGGAAGAGAGAGGGGGGAGGGAGGGAGGGGAAGAGGGGGAGGGGGGAGGGAGGAGAGGAGGAGGAGGGGAAAAGCAGAGGGAGGGGAAAGGGAGGGAAGGAGGGAGGGAGAGGAGAGGGGAGGGAGGGGAGAGGAGGGAGGGTGAGAGAGGGGGGGGGGGGGAGAGAGAGAGAGGGGGTGGGAGGGGGGGGGGGTGGAGAGAGAGAGAGATTTTAAAGGGGAGAGGGAGGGGAGAGAAAATAACCTATTAAATTGAATGAATATATTAGTATGTTATCAACGCTCAGATATTTTTTTTCAGTAAATTTTAGCTAAAACGTATTTTCGACCATATGTCTCTGCAATATACTTAAAACTGCCTTGAATACTGGACCGATCGTGATAACCCCTTTTTTCCACACTGGTTTAAAACCCCCGTCAAGCATGACCATTATTAAGACTATATTGCAGGTGCACCTTCAGTCAGTAAACTTTTATCACTGAAAAAATAAACTGACAAAGTTTATACACTGACATAAACACTGAGATATACACCGTGAGATAAACACTGAGATAAACACTGTGAGGTATACACTGTGAGGTATGTATTTCGTGCTATTCTCAGTGTATATAATATACATCAATACGAATTTTGTATCATGTATTCTATATGGATATCGTATTTTAATCCTGCATTATAATTTCATAAAAATATAATCATCTTCATCATGAGCACAAGCGATGATTCATACCAAGAGAAGTTTAATTCTGGCGATGATGCAGCGGTACTCACAGAAAAGCAGCTTGATAACATACAGATAGTTATTAAATTCTGCGTTACACTTTTGCAACGAATTTATAATTTTCGTTAATATATCATAGTATTTACTTATAAATTATGCTATAGTAAGTAAATAATTATCCTATAGCATTATTATATAAAATGTGTTTGGTGCAGTCTGGGGTTTTCCACCATCCATTACATAAGCGAGTTCTTCCATACCTTAACTAATAACAACCATAATTTTTATATGGGTGGACAGGAAAGCCAGTGGAAGGCCTCGATCAGATGACCAAAAGCTCTGGTGGCGGGGTCATCATATGAATAAGACCCTCGTCAGAAAACACTTGTCTGTTTCCTGGCGAACCTTACCTAGCCTAGCCTTCCAAACTTTAAGGTCATTGATTTTATGTTAGGCAAATTAACCCGGATTACGTTGGTATGCTGGCTGGTTTTGGCGAAAAATAAGAAACTGCAATGTAGAAAATCAGTATATATCTTTTAAAATGTTTCCTGGGGCAGAGCAGGGTTTTATTTTTAAGTGATTGAAAATTTAAGTTTCGTGTACTTACTGATATAGTCGTCTTGTCCCGGGTATCGAGCGAGGATATCGTTGGCTAAGTCTGCCACTGTGCTGGTAGTGTCAACCTTGCATACCACCACTGCTACCACTATCACCACAACCCTCCACATACTTGCTACCACCATTCTCATCATCACTTCTCGTGTCTCATACACGTCAATCTATCGTTCGTGTTTCTATTGTCCGTCTTATCTTTAATGCTACAGAAATTATTTTCCGTATAGGTTCCACTTGTCAAGTCATTCAGATATTAATGCACTAAAAACCTTATATAAATATATATATATATATATATATATATATATATATATATATATAATATATATATATATATATATATATATATATATATATATATATATATAAAATATATATATATATATATATATATATATTGCCGTTTTTGGCTTAAATAGCAACGCTGTTTGCCGAATAAGTCGAGCGAAAATTTGTGTATGCAATAATTTCGCAAAAATTATTCTGAACCTAACGAAAAAATATACTTCATTGTGTTTATTAAATTATTGTAAACTTATCTAAAATATATTTAGTTAATTAGGCTAAATTAAATTTCCTTTGTTATAATAAGGTTAGGTAAGTTTTCTAAGGTTCTGTTGGTACAAAATTTATTATTTTTTATATTACATAATGGAAAAATATATATTTAAATGTATAAGAGAAAATTTTGGAAAGGGCTTAATTTTAAACGAGTTCTTCCTAATTGACCAATTTTATATATTCGGCACGTGTGTGTGTGTGTGTGTGTGTGTGTGTGTGTGTGTGTGTGTGTGTGTGTGTGTGTGTGTGTGTGTGTGTGATGTATAAATGTATATATATATTTATATATTATATATATATATATATATATATATATTATTATTATTATATTTTTTTCAAGTCGGCCGTCTCCCACCGAGGCAGGGTGACCCAAAAAGAAAGAAAATCCCCGAAAAGAAAATACTTTCATCATCATTCAACTCTTTCACCTCACACATAATCACTGTTTTTACAGAGGTGCTCAGAACACATCATCTTAGAAGCATATACGTATAAAAATACACAATATATCCCTCCAAACTGCTAATATCCCAAAACCCTCCTTTAGAGTGCAGGCATTGTACTTCCCATTTCCAGGACTCAAGTCCAGCTATATAAAAATAACCGGTTTCCCTGAATCCCTTCACTAAATATTACCCTGCTCACACTCCAACAGATCGTCAGGTCCCAAATACCATTCGTCTCCATTCACTCCTATTGAACACGCTCACGTACGCCTGCTGGAAGTCCAAGCCCCTCGCCCACAAAACCTCCATTACCCCTTCCAACCTTTTCGAGGACGACCCCTACCCCGCCTTCCTTCCCCTACAGATTTAAATGCTCTCCATGTCATTCTACTTTGATCCATTCTCTCTAAATGACCAAACCACCTCAACAACCCCTCTTCAGCCCTCTGACTAATATTTTTATAAACTCCACACCTCCTAATTTCCACACTCCGAATTTTCTGCATAATATTTACACTACACATTGCTCTTAGAGAGGACATCACTGCCTCCAACCGCCGCCTCGCTGCTGCATTCACAACCCAAGCTTCACATCCATATAAGAGTGTTGGTACCATTATACTTTCATACATTCCCTTCTTTGCCTCCATAGATAACGTTTTTTGTCTGCACATATACCTCAACGCACCACTCACCATTTTTTTCTCATCAGTTCTATGATTAACCTCATCCTTCATAAATCCATCAGCTGACACGTCAACTCCCAACTATCTGAAAACATTCACTTCTTCCATACTCCTCCCCAATTTGATATCCAATTTTTCTTTATCTAAATCATTTGATACCCTCATCACCTTACTCTTTTTCTATGTTCACTTTCAACTTTCTACCTTTACACACACTCCCAAACTCGTCCACTAAACTTTACAATTTTTCTTTAGAATCTTCCATAAGCACAGTATCATCAGCAAAAAGCAACCGTGTCAATTCCCATTTTGTATTTGATTCCCCATAATTTAATCCCACCCCTCTCCCGAACACCCTAGCATTTATATATATATATATATATATATATATTATATATATATATATATATATATACACACACACACAGTTCATACGAAACAACATTCCACGACCTATGTGTCGTGCCTAATTGAACTTGACGAACAGGCCAAACTCCCTTAAAAACCGGACTTCTCAAAAAAAAATCTTACATACAGATGTATTTTTTCATTGACCGTGATATAAAATGTATTATTTTTCCACCGAGTCTAACTTAGAACCTTCACCTCACCTAACATAATTTAAACTAGTTTAATTTTTGTTTAGCTAAATTGTACAATGTACAGCATAGGTTGGTCTAAATTTAATGTTGCTTCAAATTAGATATACGTATATAGTTTTTTTCGTTATGCTAAAACTGATTTCTACTGATTTATGGAAAAGAACCACTATGGCCCTTAGGGGTTTAACGCTTGGCTATGATTATTATTATTATTATTATTATTATTATTATTATTATTATTATTATTATTATATGGTTAAAATAAATTTTCATTCTGCTAATTCGAATGGGCCAAATTCGGCTTAACCGGCACTATTATATATATTATATATATATATTTTAAATATATATTATATATAATATATATAATATACACACACAGTTGTAAATTTAATTTCTTAAGGGGCAATGTTAATGTCCAGTATTATATATGTACATTTCTCATGAGTATACAATATACTGCCATCATATGAGTAACAACTAGACTCGTAAGTTATGGATGTCAATCTTGCCAGTAATGATTATGCTCTACTGAGCCAATTAAGAAAATCAATTGTACGGGTATTCGTACAGCTGGCAAGGTTTGATGCGAGCCAGAGCAGAGAGGTCCCAGGCGAGGCACACCACCCACCTTCACCACTATCATAACCACACTGCAGCTACCGCCCCCACTGCCACCTAACGTGAAGGATTTTAATGATACGTGAACAGCGCACGCGCCTCCTCATCCTCCTCGCTTTCTTCCTCTTTCTCTTCCTTTTCCTCTTCTTCCTCATCTTATCTGACCGATATTCAGGTATCTTAAATCAACTGGCTACCTTAATGTAATAAATACTCGCATCATGACCTATCCAGTCTTAAAATTAGCAGGATACTTTTCTCTTTTACCAAGTTAACCTAAGAGGGCTAGTCTAAATTGGTTATTTTTTTTATAAACAAAAGTTAGCGTGGGTTCCACTGTGACCACAATTGCAAGTTTTACAAATGAATGTCATAACTCTCAATGATGTTATCATATCGCGAGTCGTTGATAACGGCATTGAATGATGTAGATTTTCCTGCAGCCATGTTGGTGCGAGATTCCTCTGTAGAAACTTACATCCTGCTCGAAGCATCGTACAGTACTTAGACAAGCATAAAAAAGTGAATAGAATACTGTTCTGCTGGTTCAGGGAGTTATTTTCCAAGGATTTGAATACTTAACTTTTCATGATTTTTGTATTAATATGATTTTCTGAGTCGTTATAATGATTAATATAATCAAAGTATCTTCCTTCACTCAGTCCATGGGTTAATTACTACAATGGTTCTTCACTCAGTCCATGGGTTAATTACTACAATGGTTCTTCACTCAGTCCATGGGTTAATTACTACAATGGTTCTTCACTCAGTCCATGGGTTAATTACTACAATGGTTCTTCACTCAGTCCATGGGTTAATTACTACAATGGTCCTTACATCAGTCCATGGGTTAATTACTACAATGGTTCTTCACTCAGTCCATGGGTTAATTACTACAATGGTTCTTCACTCAGTGCATGGGTTAATTACTACAATGGTTCTTCACTCAGTGCATGGGTTAATTACTACAATGGTCCTTCACTCAGTGCATGGGTTAATTACTACAATGGTTCTTCACTCAGTCCATGGGTTAATTACTACAATGGTCCTTCACTCAGTGCATGGGTTAATTACTACAATGGTCCTTCACTCAGTGCATGGGTTAATTACTACAATGGTCCTTCACTCAGTCCATGGGTTAATTACTACAATGGTCCTTCACTCAGTGCATGGGTTAATTACTACAATGGTCCTTCACTCAGTGCATGGGTTAATTACTACAATGGTTCTTCACTCAGTGCATGGGTTAATTACTACAATGGCCTTCACTCAGTGCATGGGTTTAATTACTACAATGGTTCTTCACTCAGTGCATGGGTTTAATTACTACAATGGTCCTTCACTCAGTGCATGGGTTAATTACTACAATGGTCCTTCACTCAGTGCATGGTTAATTACTACAATGTTCTTCACTCAGTGCATGGGTTAATTACTACAATGGTTCTTCACTCAGTCCATGGGTTAATTACTACAATGGTTCTTCACTCAGTCCATGGGTTAATTACTACAATGGTCCTTCACTCAGTGCATGGTTAATTACTACAATGGTTCTTCACTCAGTGCATGGGTTAATTACTACAATGGTTCTTCACTCAGTCCATGGGTTAATTACTACAATGGTCCTTCACTCAGTGCATGGGTTAATTACTACAATGGTCCTTCACTCAGTGCATGGGTTAATTACTACAATGGTTCTTCACTCAGTCCATGGGTTAATTACTACAATGGTTCTTCACTCAGTCCATGGGTTAATTACTACAATGGTCCTTCACTCAGTCCATGGTTAATTACTACAATGGTTCTTCACTCAGTCCATGGTTTAATTACTACAATGGTTCTTCACTCAGTCCATGGTTAATTACTACAATGGTTTCTTCACTCAGTCCATGGGTTAATTACTACAATGGTCCTTCACTCAGTCCATGGGTTAATTACTACAATGGTTCTTCACTCAGTCCATGGGTTAATTACTACAATGGTTCTTCACTCAGTCCATGGGTTAATTACTACAATGGTTCTTCACTCAGTCCATGGGTTAATTACTACAATGGTCCTTCACTCAGTGCATGGGTTAATTACTACAATGGTTCTTCACTCAGTCCATGGGTTAATTACTACAATGGTCCTTCACTCAGTCCATGGGTTAATTACTACAATGGTCCTTCACTCAGTCCATGGGTTAATTATACAATGGGTCCTTCACTCAGTGCATGGGTTAATTACTACAATGGTTCTTCACTCAGTCCATGGGTTAATTACTACAATGGTTCTTCACTCAGTCCATGGGTTAATTACTACAATGGTTCTTCACTCAGTGCATGGGTTAATTACTACAAT